GTCTTAATACTGAAAGATACTACCCAACTTTCTGAGTTTTGAGGATGGCCAACGTGCCTAGTGCTGTTAATTGATTTAACATGGATCCAGGACAAGTGCCTGCATTATTGACTTTGCCAGAGCTCATGCCTGTGATCCTAGCTATTTAGGAGATCTGAGGATTGTGGTTCTAAGCCAGTCTAGGCAGGAAAGTCCATGAGACTTTTATCTCCAATTAACTGCTAAAAAAGCTGAAAGTGGAGATGTGGATTTGTTCTCCATCCTCTATCCCCATGGGCAACTCTGAGGTAGTTGATACACTTGGAGGAAAGAAGCTACAGAAGAGGAAGAAAGTGCCATGGAGGTGAGGTCTGGAGCAATCGGAGAAGGCTTCCAGGAAGAGAAGGGCTTTGAGCCAGGCAGGTGGTTCTAAAAGTTGAAATTGTATCAGAGGAGAGAATAAGATGGGACAGAACTTTCTATGCCAGTCTTCATGGTGGGTTCCTTGGAAGTTGCACTCAGTACTCTATTGAAACTCCCTTCCCAACTACCATCTCTACTCTTTGGGTGCTTCTGAGTTGGGAACTAACTCAAGTTGTTTAGTAAGATGTGTTGAGAGTCAGGATTTTACAGTCTCTTCCCCAAGATGGAAGACTCTGAACCTAGTTAAGTGGGGATAATGTCTCCAAATCAAAGGGGAGGCAAAAAGGTTTAGGAGCCAAGAACAGGGGAGTCTGAGATTCCCAGAGGCAAAGGGTCCCTCCTACACTCAGGGAGACTAAAGCCCCTGAGTTCCTTGTCACAGCTTCCATTGATTCAGGTTCCTGATTCAGGGTCCTGATTCATGTTCCTTCCACTGCCCACCATGACCCCAGAATAAGCTTAATCCCTCTTCTAATGAAACACTTGATTGGGTGCTTGAAGGCAACACCCCTGAAACAGACCAGCCATTGCCTTTTGCTGCCCACAGGGACTGTTATATTTGATCATCATAGTTCTTCAATGGAGCAGATGTTTTTTAGAAAAATGGAAATTGGCTCAGAAAGAATGACTATTTTTGTCCCAAGGTCATACTAAATCTTAATGTACACCCTTGTCAACCTTGTCTTCTCCTGTCATATTCCCTTGAACTTTGTCTTTTTCAGGCTAAAGGAAGTCTCACCTCAATTCCTCTTGTTACCACACTTTGCTTCAATAAGCCAGGCTGAGAGGTCCTGCCTCCTGAGTAGGGAAAGGCAGAACCTGAAATAGTAACATTCTTGGGTGAATCAGGAGACTCTAAAAGGCTATAATAGCTTCCAGAAGCTTGGTCAAATATACTGGGGGGTGCAGTAGATCATTCTATGTGCAGTATGGGGATGGGGACCTCTCTTGATATGGGAAGAGATGGAGAGACCCAAGAGAGAGGCCACTGTGTACTAGGGAGTCCCTAGATAATAGCTCAGAGGGGAAAGGAGCCAGAAGCTAGTTCTGATAAGGTACTTAGAGTGGCACTTGGCATGACTATCAAATGCTTCCATGATGCAAGTGAGGAAATTGCAATTCAGAGAGAGGCTTGGACTTTCCCAGATATACCATAGAGCAGTGGCAGAGCCAGGGCCGCAGGTTTCCTGGTCTTGGACACACCAATGCTGCCACCAGGAGCTCCCATGGAGGAAGCCTGAACCCAGCAGTACCATGAAAGAAGGCACATGTTTGCCTAGTCCTCGTGAGCTCCCATCAAACTGCAGAGAGGAAACTTCTTTGAACCCTCTGAAGCCACTTACACATGGAGTAGCAGAGTAGACACAGTGGACACAGTGGCAGAGATCAGGGCCTGTCTTGTGCAGTGCTGTAGAGTAATAGTGTGCCATCACACAAGGCAGAACTAGCCTAAGTTCACACAGAAAAGACATGATGAAGTTAGGACCTGGGACCTTGTTCTCAGCTCCAATAGGGCCTCCTAGCCCAGACAGAGAGAAGCAGATTTAGGTGCTTGAGGGATCTAGGCTATTTCTGGCTTCCCCAACCCTTCCCTGCCACATAAGCATCCAGGACTCTGCAGGTGAACTAGGAACTGCTGAAATTCCTTCAGAATGGATCACCTATATTGATATTCCCATTGTGAGATTCTGTGCTTTTCACTCTTTACCAAACTATTCTAGAGAACCCAGCTCAGAGGCACAGAAAATGACCATGTACAAAGCCACAGAGGAAGTCACATTAAATTCCAAAGCATCTCACTGACTGTGATCTCCAACCACAACACAATATAAGAAGTCAACAAGACATGCAGAAAGCCTCCCATAGGTTGAGAAACTAAAAACAGACTTTGAAGTCATCCAAGAGTGACAGAGGAAATCACAATGACATTTGTGAAATATTTAGAACTGAATGATAAGGAAAGCACAAGCTGTTTTCTAAGTCATTTCCTCTCTTGTTCCTTTCCATGACACTGTACCCTCCACCCAGCTCTGCACACAGGAGGCTGACCTCTGTGGACTCTTAGCTTCTGGTGGGATTCAGCTAGTGTAGAAACCTGGCCAGAGATGAGAGGAAAGGTGTGTGGAAGTGAGGCCTTTATTTGCCCTTCTCATCCTTCCCCAGATGATTTCTGCATGCTCTATGTGCTATGTGCTTCCCCCATATCTGAACACATTAGGCCTAGTGCCTGTCAGAGTCCCCTCCTCATAACTCTCACCCCTGGTACTCCCTCCCAGCCTATGGTTGACAGCAACCCACTGTCCATACCAGTCCCTTAGTAATACACTACAATATTTCTCTCCACCTTGACTATATCTATAAAGAGTGCCTTGTGCTGGGCGCTGGTGGCTCATGCCTGTAATCCTAGCTACTCAGGAGGCTGAAATCTGAGGATTGAGGTTCAAAGCCAGCCCGGGCAGGAAACTCCATGAGACTCTTATCTCCAATAAACCACTAGAAAACCGGACAAGGCTCTGTGGCTCAAGTGGTAGAGCGCTCACCTTGAGCTAAAGAGCTGAGGGATAGCACCCAAGCCCCACGACTGACAAAAAGAGTGCCTTGTTGTGGAAGGCATGGCTCAGTTGGTAGAGCACCCATCCAATGACTGAAAGTGTCAGGTCTTGAGTTCAAGTCCCAGTCTTGGACAGAAAAAAAAAACCAACAACCCTTAAAAAGGGGGGGGAGGGAGAAATGGCACTGTCGCTCAAGTGGTAGAGTGCTCGCCTTGGGCTGAAGAGCTCAGGGAGAGCACCCAGGCCTAGAGTTCAAGCCCCATGACCAACAAAATAAAAGGGGGGGCCGGGAGGAAGGGGAGCCAGCCGCTGGTAGCTCATGCCTATAATCCTAGCTATTCCGGAGGCTGAGATCTGAGGATTGGGGTTCAAAGCCAGCCTGGGCAGGAAAGGCCGTGAAACTCTTATCTCCCATAAACCACCAGAAAACCAGAAGTGTCACTGTGACTCAAATGGTAGAGCTGAGGGACAGTGCACAGCCCCAGAGTTCAAGCCCCATGACTGCCAAAAAAGAAAAAAGGAAGACCTTTATTAAACTTCTCATTAAACTTTCCATGTTTCCTGAGGACCCCAGTACATAATAGCATTCTCCCTTCTGCCTGGCCTCCTGGGATGGGGGAAGGGCATTGCTGGCCTGAGGTCTGTCACTGTTCATCACCTAATCCCTTGATCTCAGTACACAGGCATACTCAGTAAAAGATATTGAGTAGGATAGCAAATTGAACGTGCATTCCCTCCATATGTAAATGGTTTGTCCAGCCAGACTAAGATTCAGACATAAAAGTAAGAAGAAATTTAGGCTGAAGCAAAAATAAGTGCCCAGAAAAAGAATGGGTTCACATTTATGTGCTGTATGTTTTTTCTTTCCGGCAGTATTGAAGTTTGAGCTCAGGGTATGGTGCTTTATGTCTAGGCTGACCTGGACTGTGGTCCTCCTGTTTGTGCTTCCCCAAGTTGCTAGGATGACAAGTGTGCATCATCAAGCCTAGCTACTGTGCTTCCCCCATAATTGCCCCTGTACAGCCATTGGTCAAGATGGAGTCTCACAGACTTTTTTTTTCCCTAATTGGCCTCTAGCCTAAATCCCCTGATTTTCTGCCTCCTAAATAGCTAGGATTATAAGCTTGAGCTATCCCACTCAGCTCTATGAACCGCAATTTTTAAGGAACTAGTGTTCTCATGCCATTGAGCAAGCAGGAGGAGATCCAAAGGGAGCCGACTGGGGTTATCTGTGCCACCTGCGGTCACAGCTTTCTCCTAGGCCCACCTGTTCTACCAGCTGTCTGTCTGGCCTTTCCAGTCTAGAAGCCCCTAATTTTCCCTCCTGTTCAGACAAAACCCTCCAACTGATCCCTGGGCTGGGAATCTGTGCCCAGTGGAGAAATCCAGGTGGAACGCTAGGTAGAGCAGACCAGGACTGGAAGGGTTTGGATTTGGCTGGAAGAATGGAGGGGAAGCAGATATTCTAAAGAGGGAATAGCCCGCCCCTTTCTGGGGGAGGAGAAGGGGTAAATTTGAGTGGAGCTAGAAGAATCAACCCCGCCGCCTCAGTGGGAGATCTGAGATTTGAACATTCCCGGGAGGATCAGAGCGAGGAAACTCGCTTCATGATTTCCCCGGCATTCATTTCCTCATTCACGCGTTCACTTTAGAGGGTTTTGGGTGCCTGGTACGAACCTAAGCTGAGACACAGGCGTGGATTAGCAGTCCCGATTCGCTATGGCCTTCAGGACAGGTGAGACACAGGTGACTCCAGGAGGGCAAAGCAACCAGGATTTATTTAGCAGCTCTTTTGTTCTTGCTCTAAACAGAAGCTTGTCCTAGGCTTGTCGCCTAGAAGCCTGAGGCGACTCCCCCCCCCAACCCCGAGAAAGAAAGGCCCAGGGAGACTCCCGAGAGCCCGGCACGCGGTCCTTCGCAGACCCAGATATGGACTTCCCGGAAAGTGGGGGGAACTCCGCTTTTCCCCGCCCTTTCCCCGCCCCTCCCCGCCCCGTGGCCGTGGCGTGGCGGGGGCCCGGGGCGGAGCTGGCGTCGCCAGGCCGGTAGGAGGGCAGCGGTGGCCCGGGGGACAGGACCGCCGGCCCCGGGAGACGGGCAGGAGGGCGACCCTGCGCGCTGGGATGTGACCGCGGCCCGCGGAGGACTCGACCTCTCCGCCCCAGAGGATCTGGTGAGTGAGCGATCGCGGCCCCCCGCGGGCACAGCCAGGCCTCGCTCCCACTTTCATTTCCTCCGCGGTCCAGACCGGGCACCGAGGCACCGTCCGGAAGCGGACCCGGCCCGAAGGCAGTCCGGCCCCAGCCTGCTGCTAACTAAGCCCAGGGTCTCAGGCTCACGGTCGGGAAAGCCCGGCTCCGGGTGGCGATCGCTGGGTGGGGGGCGTGTCTTCGGGAGCGGAGACGTCAGTCAGGCTCTTCTGGGCCCAGCGACTTGTTGGCCCTGACAGCTGGGGGTAGGAGGAGGGTCCTGGGGGGTGATGTGCGGGGTGGAACGCAGGGTCTTCCAATACTCTTGGATCTTGTTTCCAGTTGGATTCTGAGTTCAAGCAGGGGCTAGCTCTAGCTGAGTGTCTGTGCCAGGCTCACAGAGGGGCACGTGTGGCTCTGGCCCTTGGGGCGGAGGTTGGGGGGGGGCGGGGATAAATGTTACAAACAGGCAGTGGGCCTGGAGAATTCATTTGGGAAGATCCGATGTCCAGCCAGACAGTGAGAAAGCCACTGACCACTCACCCCACATTGGGCAAAAAGGGCAGTGGCTCAGAGACGGGGACAGAAGTTCTGTGAGAGACCATCACAACAGGGGCAAGAGGGTAGGGAGTGAGGAGAGATAGGGGACATGGTTCCCACCTGCAAGCTGGGACAAGTCCCAGACCTGGAAGTTTTATGACAAGAAAGCCAACTCTAGCTCCATACTGTGGACGTCCAAATCACCGAGGGGAAGGGTCAGTGTGTTGCAGCAGGAAGCAAGTTGGTCTGATTGGTGGAGAAGAATGCTGTGCCTCCCTCTCCCTTCCTCTCTTCCTATCTGCACCAGGCCATTGCAGGAAAAACGATCCTTTTCTCCTTATCATGGATTGAGCTCCACCTTATCCACTTCTGTCTGTAACCTGCTCTATGAATGCCCGTTCTTCAAGTCTTCTCTCTGGTCCTCAATTTCCCCGTATGTACAAGTGGGTTGAATCAGTTGGTTTCTCGGGACTGTTTGAAAAGGAGGGCTCTTGAGTCTAAGTTTCTTGTAAAGCTCAGCCACCAACATTGTGTCAGGTCTTGACTTATGCTGGCAGCAGGGTGGGGACAGCAGCGGCCAAGGAGCAGCATCTGTGCATTACAGGGAGGGTTGGACTCAATATGAGAGGCCACTGGAGGAGCCTGATCCTCCAGGAGTGTGGAAAGCAGCTGGCAGGTACCAACTGAAGAAAATACACAGGCAGGAGAGTTTGGGTGTGTTCAGGGATCAAAAAGAAGCCCAGGATGGTTGATGAAGGGAAGGTGGGAAGGAGGACTAAGGTAGGGTGTGAAGTTAAATGGTAGGATGAGGGGCTGGGAAGGTGGCTCAGTGGTAGAGGGCTTGCCTTGCATGCATGAGGCCCTGGGTTTGATTCCTCAGCACCACATAGCAAAAAGAAAAAAGCCGGAAGTGGCACTGTTGCTCAAGTGGTAGAGTACTAGCCTTGAGCTGAAGAGCTGAGGGACAGTGCCCAGGCCCAGAGTACAGGCCCCACGACCAGACCCCAAAAAAAAAAAAATTGTGGAAACGGTACGATGAGGGACTAAACAACCGTCAGTAAAGGGTCACCTGATTGCAGAGAGTGACAGGAAGCACTTGACCCACACAGTTTCAAATGGAGAGAGCAAGTGATGTATAGAGATCTCTTCTTGTAGAAAATTCAGGTTGCACACTGGCACTTCCTTGGGAAGAGGGTGAGGGGCAGGGATAGATAACAGGAATTTCCATGTCTTCAAGTTCCATTAAGGTCCTGCTGGGAGACCTCTCTCTTCTTTCCAAATGCTTTTCCTTGTCTCCATCCGGCCTGCCTGTTGTGCATGTAAGAAAGGATCTTTGTCCAAACATCTCTACTGGTTTGATTTGTTGCCAGAAGTAACATTACCCTCATATATGCTAATTCTTTTAGTTACACCCAATTGCCACCTTGTTCCCACCCTCTCCACCAATCCTGTCCCAGTGTTATCAGAGCTATGAGAAAGGAAATTGCCTCACTGGCCATCTCTGTGGGTGGATGTCTTCAAGCCTCGGTGTGTGGGGCTAGAATCAGGGCTCAGAATGGCTAGGATCAGGGTTAAGTCAGAGTTCAGCCTGGAACCTACTTTCAGTGCTTATACTCAGCCTCAGTGCTCATTCTGGGGTCAAGGTCACTGTTCAATGTGTGGCTAAAAACTAGTCTCAGCAGATGAGTCTGCATTTCCCAATATCCCACAAGCTCACTGGAAAGGTGAGATGCTTAGAAACCTGACTGTGTCAGAGTGACCCAGCGTTTGCATGAGCCAAATCCATGGTGCTACAAGGATAAGCCAGCAAGCTAGTGATAAAACAGGGATAAGAGGGCTGGGAAGTTGGCTCAGTGGTAGAGTGCTTGCCTTGCATGCCTGAAGCCCTGGGTTCAATTCCTCAGCACCACATAAGCAAAAAGAAAAAAGCCGGAAGTGGCGTTGTGGCTGAAGTGGTAGAGTGCTAGCCTTGAGCTGAAGAGCTGAGGGACAGCGCCCAGGCCCAGAGTTCAGGCCCCATGACCAGACCCCCCCCCCAAAAAAAAAACAACAAAAAAACAGAGATAAGAACCTAAGACACCTGCCCCTGCCCCCCAACAAGTCTGTCTGAGCTGGGATCTTTCCGTTCTTTTTCTTCTTTTTTCTTTTTGGTACCAGTCCTGGGGCTTGAATTCAGGGCCTGAGTGCTGTCCCTGAGGTTTTTTTTGTTGAAGGCTATCATTCTTCCACTGAAGCCTCAAAGCTCAGCCTCCTGAGTAGCTAGGATTACAGGTTGTAAGTGACTGGCACCCAGCCGGCTCTTTCAATTCTAAAAGGCAAAGCACACACCTCTGAATTCTAGATGGGCCTAGCTAGATAGTTTGGCTGCACTCACATCCCAATGCCCGGCCCATACTAGGTGTGCTAGGAATCTAATGTCAGGTGCAAGGAGAGAGCCAGTGGCTGGAGGAGGCCAGCACCAAAAATGAATCTCCAGTCTTTGTCAGAGGAAGTAGCACTCTTGAAGGCTTGCACCCTCCCCCAGCGCCTACAGCCACATTCAGAGGTCACCCAGCTGGCCAAGTAAGGGCCTTTTCCTCATTGAGGGCAAAGAAAAAGGAAAGGAAGGACATATTTAGTAGAAAAGTCCTTCTTGCTCCCTGGGAATCCCCGGTGGCCGGATGGACATTGGGATATCCCAGAGGAAGCTGACGGCCAAGGCCCTCCCCCTTCCCCTGCACAATGAAGCGAAGCTCTCCCACCCTGCACAGCTGGCCTGTGGGGTTCCCTGAGGTCATCTTGTACAGGCCCCAGTCTCCTGGTGGACCTGTAATGGCCTCTGCTATCTCTGTCATGATCAACAGCAAGTCCCATGAGCACCTGAGTGAAGCCCACACCTTACCTTCTGTAAGATGCTCTATAAATAAAATGAGAGGCTGTGGGGGTGCAGCACCGGAGCTACAATAGCCCGGAAAGAGGGTGAGGCACTGGACCTTGGGGATAAGGATTTTGATTTCAGTAAAAGATGCAGAAGTTGTCTCAAGGCTGACAAATAAGAGGGAAATGAGGTATTGGGAAATCAAAGTTTAACTGATAAGGCTCTGGCCACTTGCTGCTCTTATTCTTGACAGAGCATCTTCAGGACCCTACCCTTGGATACTCAGCTCAGCCAGGCCCTGGCCATGGCACTGTGCCTAAAGCAGGTGTTTGCTAAGGACAAGACATTCCGGCCAAGGAAGCGCTTTGAGCCAGGCACACAACGCTTTGAGCTGTATAAGAAGGCCCAAGCATCACTCAAGTCTGGACTGGACCTGCGCAGTGTGGTGAGGCTGCCGCCTGGGGAGAACATTGATGACTGGATTGCTGTGCACGTAGTGGACTTCTTCAACCGCATCAACCTCATCTACGGGACCATGGCTGAGCACTGCAATGAGGTCAGCTGCCCAGTCATGGCTGGTGGGCCCCGATACGAGTACCGCTGGCAGGATGAACGCCAGTACCGGAGGCCTGCCAAGCTCTCAGCACCACACTATATGGCCTTGCTTATGGACTGGATTGAGGGCCTCATCAATGACGAGGATGTCTTTCCTACGCGTGTTGGTAAGCTGGCTAGAAGGTCAACCTGGCCAGGAAGGGTGGGAGCTACCACAGAAGGGGCATAGTCTAATATAAGGACCTCTGGGTGATAGAGGATTTTCATCCTCATTTAGTAGAAGTGGGAATGAGTTTAGGCAGGTTAAGTATCTTTTTAAAGGTCAAACACTTAACTATAGCTGCCTGACTTCTGCTTGGGGCTCTTCTTATCCAGAGCATGAGTGTCTCACTCCAATAGGATCCAAAATAAAAAATGCTATGATTCTAGGAACCTTCCAGAACAGGTGCCTTAAGGCTTCTCCTACTCTAGCTGATCTTACTTCCAGTCTCTTGGGAGTTGTCTCTGAGTCCTGGCCTCAAGAAAGGGAAGGAGGTAAGGGTTGGGTGGGCCCAGCAGATAGCTTTTCTTCAGTCTAGGGCTTACAGGACAAGCCCAGGCCACAGGGCCTTTTCTTATCTCCGCTGGGGAGGAGAGGTGAATGGTACATTCTGACCCTGCTTTCCCACCCTGGAGCAGAGCATACTTGGCTCCAAGTTCATCTGAGCAGCCCCACCAGTACCCTGGGTCCCACCTCCCCACCCAGGTTATAGAACTCAGCGTGGGTGGAGCAGATGGTGAAGCCCAGAGTGGAGAAGTCTGAATGCAGAGGGAAGCTGAGCACTGAGTCACAATTCAGTGCCCATGGCTCCTCCCCAGTGGTGGCTGCCTGTACTTTCATGCCCAACAACATTTTATATAAGAGGAAACTGAAGCCACAAGAGACAGCTCAGGTCTTAGGCTACCTCTTAAAGTCTAGATAAGGATGTAGGGCTGAGGCTAGGCTTGGAAGAGTACCCAGGGAGGCAGAGCTCCCACTTGAGAGCAGTAAGGAGGGAGGGAGTCTGTGGAGCTGGGTGGGCCAGGCAGGGACCGCATCCTGCGTTCTTACTCCCTTCTAGTCTGTATCCTTAGGCTTGTGATCCCAGTTATCCATAGCTTTAATTAGCTGATTGGATGGTTCTGTAGAAAAGCTGGGCCTCTTGGAGCAGAGTCTTTATCATTTACCTCTTAGGGTGCTGTAGTGCAGTGTAAGGAGTGTTTGAAGCCTGCCTCCAGTCTGTACTAATTAATAATTAAGTGACATTGGGCATTTACCTATCTAGAATGACTATTAGAACTAGCTGCAGAACTATAAGAAGGTACAAAGGGCTCAGGGGTGGGCTCCCAAATGGAAGGTTCTTTGTGTTATCATTTGAAATAATAAATATCTGAAGGAGTTCTTGAAGGAAAAAAAATATTTTTCAGCACGGGCAGCGGTGTAAAGAGGAGGACCTTAGGGTGAGCTAGGAGAGGAAGGTCAAGTCACAACATAGAAGATCTAGCCCAGAGTCATGCTGGATGTTAGGGCTTATGGTCCAGTTTGTATTTTTGTTTTGGTTTGGTGTTTTTTTTTTATCATTAAGTAGTTATACAAAGAGGTTACAGTTTCATAAGTTGGGTTATGAGTACAAAGTGTGCTGAGTGGGCACCCTGAGTGAAGAAGCCTCACAGTGTAGAAAAGGACAGAATTGGGCAAGATTTTGTCTCAGGAGGTTGATACCACCTCTGCCCATCTCTACCACCTAGGAGTTCCCTTCCCCAAGAACTTCCAGCAGGTCTGCACCAAGATCCTGACCCGCCTCTTCCGAGTCTTTGTCCACGTCTACATTCACCACTTTGACAGCATCCTCAGCATGGGGGCGGAGGCACATGTCAACACCTGCTACAAGCACTTCTACTACTTCATCCAAGAGTTTAGCCTGGTGGACCAGCGGGAGCTAGAGCCACTGGTGAGGCCAGGCCCCCAATACCCTCCCCTGCAAGTCTATTCTCTTGAGCGTTTTCACATCCAAAGGTCACCTGCCGTGAGAAACTCTTAATACCCAAGTGGATAAATCCATTATCAAATGGATTCTGTACTTTGAATGTTCATTCAAGTGTCATTTTACCAGCTCAGATCTGCAGCCTAAAGTTGGGGCTGAGGGAGGGAAAGAGGAACTAGGCTATTCACCCTGTGGTATGAGAAGGGGCTGCCTGGCAGACTGAGCTCAGACTGACTCCTCCCTACCTTGTGTCTCTACAGAAGGAGATGACAGAGCGTATCTGTCACTGAGCCCAGGCCTGGATGTTGCTGCCCATTACATGGACCATCTGAACACAGCATGGCTGGGGGAGGGGACCCTCTGGAGTCCGGTGGTAGAGAATCTGAAGGCCCATAGGATACCTCTGCATACCAAATGCCTCTGGACTTCTGGTTCTCAGAAGTTTGCCCAGGTGTCTTTCTGAGTGCATGGAAAAGGGGGGGCTTCAAGGGAGCAACCAAAAGAAAGAGGGAGTTAAATCCCTGGCTTGAAGTCTGGGAGTAGGGTGAGTTACCAGATTGCCTCTCTGATACTTGACCCTTCCATGGTAACTCCCAGCCTATTTGGGAAATAGGGAGTGTAGCTAAGGTGATGGAAAGAAAGATGCAGGAGAGTGAGTGCTGTGTGTGCCAGTGTCAGTGTGAGTGTGTGTGAGTGTGTGTGTGTGTGTGTGTGTGTGTGAGTGAGTGATTTTGACTGTGTGGTGTGTTTTGAGAGCACGTCCCTGACACATAGTAGACTCCACAGATGATGGGTGGATGGATGGATGAATAGATAGATGGATGAATGGATAGATGGGTGGACGGGTGGGTGGATGGATGGATAGATAGGGACATCAGACCATGACCACTGTAGGAGTACTGACAGCTACTGACTACTGAGTGTTGCCACTCAGGATGTCTGACTATGTGTATAAATGCATAAAATGTGGTCACAGATGCAAATCTACAATTGAAACTTTCATTCTATCATCTTTCATTAGCATGAGACCTAGGGAGCTGGGTAGAGGTTGGAAGGGGGACTCTTACCCAGAGTCTCTTGAATCCCTGACCCTCCATGCTTATGATTCTGATTTGCTAAGCTAGACATGCCATTGAGTTGTCATTTCACTCATCTCCTTTCTTCCAGGAGACCCTTGTGTTAGACTCCTGGGATCTGGGGATGATCCCATGTGTCCATAAAGGTCCCCTGGCTTTTTAACTGTGACTTGTAAATTCCAATCTAGAATCTATAGAGTTTACTTCCAGGATCTGAAGCCCAACATGAAACAATCGTCTAGCCTAAGCACATGGTGGGGCTTAAATTAGAAAATTTGGAGTCTTGTTTTTTCTTTCTTTTTTTTTGGGGGGGGGGGGCCGGTCGTGGGGCCTGAACTCTGGGCTTGGGCGCTGTCCCTCAGCTCTACAGCTCAAGGCTAGCACTCTACCACTTGAGCCACAGCGCCACTTCTGGCTTTGTTCTTTTTCCTTATGTGGTGCTGAGGAATCGAACCCAGGGCCTCAGGCATGCAAGGCAAGCACTCTACCACTGAGCTACCTTCCCAGACCTGGAGTCATGTTTTTCATCCCAGGATATTGATGGGATCATGTAGCTGGTGGAAAGCCACTATACTAAAAGAACCTGCCTCTTTCTCAGCCAATCCTGAGACATTCCAGCTATCTGGATTTCCAGGCATAGCTATATAGAGAGTCTGAGATGTTCACTTAGCATCCCATGACTTAGTACCTCCAGCCCCAGACCTGTGCCCAGACCCACAGGTAGGGAAACTGAGGCAAGAAAGTGCTTCTGCTCTCTAAGATTCTCTGTCTTAGGAAGCCAGAATGGAGAGTCAGGAAGATCTGATAATCTTCCAGTCTTGTTCTCTTAATGTGGAAAGGAGGAAACTGAAGCCAGAAGAAGAAAAAACTGGCCAACGTTCATGAGAGTTTCATGGAGCTGTATTAAAAAATAAGAGGTCTTGACTCCCAACTCAAGGTCCATTTCTTGCTATACAGAGATGCATATGGAGAGTCTGACAGACCTTTTCCAGGATACAACTGTTCCTGCTATGAGCAAAGATTTCTAGCCTGATGCCAGAGAGCTCCACCACCCTTGGGTTGGCTGGGGTTGACTTCTGAGCCAATCTTCCAAAACCATGCCCTGCTTAATGGCCTAGAAACTGTCTGCCTGCCCTCTGGGAAAACAGATGGGACTTTCAGGCCAGCCACCTGGGCCTGGGCCTTCTGCCTCTGCTGCTTCCAGAGAAGTTCCCAAGGGAAACTTGCTGAACTGGGGGGAGTGGAAGCTGTTCCCAGAGTGGACTGCAGCTCACATGATGAATTCTAGGCTGTGGCAAGGGCTGATTGTAGGGAGGGATGGGGAGGGGAAATCTATTTTTGTGAAACATAAGGAAAACTTTATTGTTGTTATTTTTGGTAAAATAAAAGACGCAAACTGAAACAGCTCTGGGTGGGAAGCTGTGGTCTGGGTGCCACATGGTTCTTGGTGGACTGTGGGAGGGGTTGAGCCAGATGGGGCTCAGAGAGCTTTTTGCTCTGTGATCCTGGCCCATGTGGAGGGCTGGCCGGCATGGTCATGTCTGACATAACTCTCCAGGGTGGGGATACCAAAGTTCTCTCTTGGGTCCAAGGATTCTACATTGGGCTAAGCTAGGATACTGGGGAAAAGAGGGCTGGCCCTTGTCTTTTGGGAACTCATTCTAGTAGGGAGTTTTTCCATGTTTTTGGTCAGGCTACCTGGCATTGGCTTTAAGGGACAGTAAAAATACAGCCCAAGCTGGGTGCCAGTGGCTCAGGCCTGTAATCTTTCCTACTCAGGAGGCTGAGATCTGAGGATTGCAGTTTGAAGCCAGCCTGGGCAGAAAATCCCCGTGAGACTTCTATTGTGAACTAACTACTCAAAAACTGGAAGTGGAGCTGTGGCTTGGCTCAAAGTGTTAGAGCACTAGCCTTGAGCAAGAGTTCAGTGATCACTCTCAGGCCTTGATTTCCACTCCCACAACTGACAAACAAAACAAACAACCCATTCCAACCCTAATTACAGAAGAGGAAGCAATTCTTACATTTTGTTGCTGGCTGAAGCCTAAAAGGCAGGGTAGGTGGAGGGTGTGGGGGATGATAGGACATAGGGCTGCTTCAGAGCTTACTCCTCAGGAGACTCCTGAAACTCTTGGTTCAGGTCTTCTTGTCATTCCACTGCTCTAGCCCACAAACCATGCAGATAGGAATTAAAAGCAATTTGTTCCTTAAGAATCAGCAAAGGCGGGCTGGGAAGGTGGCTCAGTGGTAGAGCGCTTGCCTTGCAAGCCTGAGGCCCTGGGTTCGATTCCTCAGCACCACATAAGCAAAAAGAAAAAAAGCCGGAAGTGGCGCTGTGGCTCAAGTGGTAGAGCGCTAGCCTTGAGCTGAAGAGCTGAGGGACAGCACCCAGGCCCAGAGTTCAAGCCCCACGACCGGACCCAAAAAAAAAAAAAAAAGAATCAGCAAAGGCCCATTTGGAGCCCCCTTCTACCTACAATGGAGCCAGCCTGGCTTTGTGCAGGGGCTCCCTTGGGAGATGGAAGCTTGAGCTCCGGTCTCAGCCCTGTCCCCAAAGTTCCATGGCAAATTCCCTATCTAGACCTTGAAATACCATTCTCTTCTTTCAGTACCATCTATTTCATAATCAGAAGTGAGAATGAAGGACTAATTGATCTCAGCTCCTTTATTACTCAGTATCAATAATAACTCAGTATCAATAATAACTGTCTCTAGTACAGTTGTTAAGTGCTTGCCATGTAACAGCTTCTGAAATCAAGTTTGTTTTTTTGTTTTGTTTTTTTTTTGGTCGGTCGTGGGCCTTGAACTCTGGGCCTGAGCGCTGTCCCTTAGCTCTTCAGCTCAAGGCTAGCGCTCTACCACTTGAACTATAGCGTCACTTCCGGTTTTCTGGTGGTTTATTGGAGATAAGAGTTTCACAGACTTGGGGGCTGGGAAGGTGGCTCAGTGGTAGAGGCCCTGGGTTCGATTTCTCAGCACATAAGCAAAAAGCCAGAAGTGGTGCTGTGGCTCAAGTGGTAGAGCACTAGCCTTGAGCTGAAGAGCTGAGGGACAGCGCGCAGGCCCAGAGTTCAGGCCCCATGACCAGACCCCCCCAAAAAAAGTTTCATGGACTTTCCTGCCCAGGCTGGCTTTGAACCGCAATCCTCAGACCTCAGCCTCCTGAGTAGCTAGGATTACAGGCATGAGCCTCCAGCACCCAGCTAGCCAAGATTCTTTTCTATCCAATACCATTTCTTTCTTTCAGTGCTTGAGTGTCTGGGATGAACTTCATTCTACTGCTTCTTTTTCTGGCTCACCAAGGGCCTGAAGCTCAGCATTCTAAAAGGCTACTCACTGCAGTCATTGTACCACTCTCATACATTGGAAAGTCAAAGCTTTGGGTTGTTTTTTTTGTGTGTGTGTGTGTGTCGATCATGGGGCTTAGACTCTGGGCCTGGGTGCTGTCCCTGAGCTCTTCAGCTCAAGGCAAATGTTCTATCACTTGAGCCACAGGCACCCTCAGGTTTTCTGGTGGTTAATAGGAGATAAGAGTCTCACAGACATTCCTGCCCGGGCTGGCTTTGAACCACAGTTCTCAGATCTCAGTCTCCTGAGTAGCTAGGATTAGAAGCATGAGCCACCAACACTCAGTTTTCATGGTCGTTTGTGAAATTCACCATGGAAGTGAGGTTTTATACGTGTGGTCCAACACTTGCCCCTACAGTCTTAAACACATTAAAAATCTCACACACAAAGCCAGGCGCTGGTGGCTCACACCTGTAATCCTAGCTACTCAGGAGGCTGAGATCTGAGGATCACAGTTCAAAGCCAGCCCTGGCAGGAAAGACTGTGAAACTCCTATCTCTAGTAAACCACCAGAAAACCGGAAGTGACACTGTAGCTCAAGTGGTAGAGTGCTCACCTTGAGCTGAAATGCTGAGGGACAGCACCCAGGCCCAGAGTTCAAGCCCCACAACCGACAAAAAAATAATCTCACACACACATACACAAACAACATTGCCTTGAGAGAAAGAGAAGAGAGAACCAAGACCTCAACCATGAGAGAAAAGAGCCGCCCCTTTCCCACCTAGGGAAGAACCTAGCAAGAGAGGCAATGTCTTGGAAGTATAGCTGTCCCTCGCTATATCGTGGTTCACTGTTGTTGCTTCACTGTATCGTGGGGTTAAAAAAATAGGTAAATAGTGATTCCTCTCCTATTGTGGGAGTTACATTCCAGAGACCCCTGCAGTAGGTGAAAATCCGTTAAGTAGCAATAAGTGAACCGTGATATAGCAAGGGACAAATATCTAAGGATGCTACTTTATGGATTTTCACCTATTATAGGGGTCTTTGGAACATAAAGAGAGGTATCACTGTACAAGGGCTGGGAAAGGCAGGTTGTGGATTGTTTTCCTATTGGCTCAAGATCCTTAATGGTCTTTGGAGCAGAGAACAAGGGAATAAGCCATTCTTTCTACTCTGGGGCAGCACATTTCCCTGCTGGATAAAGGATGTGTAACCACTCTTGGCTTCCATGAACCCTGGAACCTCTCGGAGGTTCCCTGCTACCACTCTATACAAGGAGCTGTGGACCGTGTAGTGAGATAAGCCACAAGTATGACTGGAATTTTACCTGCTTTGGAGGAGCCAGCACTCCTTCCCCTGTGCCCCCCAGGGTCTCCTCCAGTGTTAACTAACATTGTTTTCCATGTGTGAGTAAATAAGCAGCTTTGGAGAATCTGGATTAGAACACAGACCTCAATGACTCAGGACCTGCTGGCTATTGAGATGTTTGGAGATGAGTGAGGCCTGCAATGGAAGCTTATACAGGTCTAGAAGGTAACAGGTGGAATAGGTAGGGACATACAGCCTTTAGGTTGGAGTCAAGGATTGTAGAAGGCATGCAACAAAGAAGCTTGGTGGGGAAACTCCTGTCTAGCTTTCATCAGGGTTGGGAAATCTAGCAGTCCTAAATGATCCCTAATGTTCCCAACACCTCCTACCGTCATATAGGTGAGAAGACAGCCCAGAAGGGGACTGGAAATAAACCTTTGTTGGGGGGTTTTGGGAAGTGCACACAGCTCTTTAATTAGCAATGCTCACAGACAGTCACAACAATCATGAGTCAGGCATGGGAAGGATGTTTACTTCTGTATCAAAAAGAAGAAAACATACTCAGCCATCAGAATCTGAATTAAAGCCAAGTCAGTTTTGGCACTTGCAGCCTAAGGAAGTAGGACCTTCAGTCTATTTGACAATTGTTTTTCCTCCAAGAAATGAGCTTTTCAAAGTGCTTTCCCCCCCCTTGTTTTGTATTGAACCAACTCA